TGATAATATATTTAAATAAGTAACATTTATGTTTCTATCAAAAAGATTTAGGGAAAAAGGTAATGTAAGTCCACTGCTGTTTATCTGAATTTGCAAGCCACAAATTGACGTTTAACTATGATTATTGCATGGCCATTTTCTTGTGAAATATTAGTGCTTGGCATTTCACACTTACCAATGACCACCCCCACAAGTACCATCTCTGAACCATATAAGCACCTCAGAATAGCCAAAGCTTTTATGGTTTGGTAGATAGCAGTATGGCGAAAGCGTCGTTTTGGGTGTGGTCAGTTTCGGACGTTTCGCCCCGGATTGGGGTTCGGGCAGCGTTACCATGTTGACCGTCATGGTCAACTTACCCTAAAACAGTTGAGATTATCTCTCCTAAATGAAATGCATACAAACTCATATACAGGTCCTAGACTACCTACAGTTCTTCTTGTTTAAGCAATAATTCCGTAAAACAGGCTTATTCGTGCAGAACGCGAATTCTTTTCGACTTGTGGCAATATTGGTCACCTAAGGAATAATTCAAATTAACAGGTGGGAAATTTGTCTGAGCATGCGCGAGCAAATTGAAAAACACAATTGTGTGGAATACACGCAACGCGTGTTTACAAAAAGGCACAATCGTGTAAATATTGCCAAATGTTTGTACAAAATAAATGACTGTTTTATGTTGAAAATGGATATGAACTAAGTTAATCATACAGAATTTTTTAGTGACGTTCTATTTCAGTACCCTGCCATTGTCTCTGGTGGGCTGTCCGTGTGCATTCGATCTGAAAAACAGTCGCTACTATGCTGTCGAAAAATTTCGAATGTTTACATGAAAATAGAGGCAAGTCATGCATTTTACAACCTCGTAAACTGTATGAGCCCCTATTTTTACGCTTATACCTAATATATCAAATAAAAATACATGAAACAGAGAACATTTTCAGAAAGTTTTATCGTGAGGCCACGGCCAGTTTTTGAAATATCTTTATTTCTGTTCCGGTCATCACCAAAATTACACTAAAACCGGGCTTGAATATACAACAAATTTTGAATCTCATCAAGTACAAAAATATTTAACGTGTAACCAAAATATGCTCATGAAATCGAAATTAATAGCTAAATTTTCAATCTAGACCCTTCTCGAAGCGGTTTTCATGAAGGAAGTTCACATTTCGGCCTTTGATTCCTGGTAAAAATTTGACAACAACACGTGTGAAGCAACTGGGTCTCAAAGACTCAGCTAAAACATTGTGAGCCCCTATTTTCCTGACGATATGTTTGATACCAACAAACACCTAAAAGTTTTTTCTTTTCATTCAGCTATATTTGAAATTGAGGCCACGGGCTATTTTTGAGAAAATACAGTTCAAAGTCAAGCTATTTTTACATATTTTCAAAATTTGTCAAATTTCGCGAGCTTGTATTTTGAACTTAGATAGCTGAAGTTACATTAAGAAACATAGGATGGAAAATTTGAGGCATATAAAGTTAATTTCAACTTACATTTCATTCTCATATCACGTCTTTCTTCGTTTATTCCGGTTTTAAACAAGCCACAGATCGACGTATATGGTATTTACTCCCATGTTCACGTCGCCATATTAACTTCTTCCAATCACTCGATTACAAAACAAATATCCCAAACCAAAGAACTCATAGTCGACTTTTAAAAGAATAACCGTTAATTTGTAAATCGTTGAATGGAAAGCAAAAAATCGTCAGCTAAAACAGCTTCTTGCTAACTTTCTGCTTTGTTTTGAATGTAAATGCAATGAGCTTTGTTTCTGCCCGCGATTTTTTGGTCAGCGACGACAAATTTCCCACCTGTTATTCAAATTAGATTTCGACAACGTCAATGTTCCCATGGCAACATGACGACAGCATAAAGCCTTCCAATTTAACCCATAAAAGTGCCGCTATCTCAAAAACGATGTCGGTGACCTATCTTTTTAATTTCATATGTCAATAGGGAATAATGCTTTGCAACTGTGGTGAAAGTTTAAAAAAATTCTGTAGTGTGTGATTTTTTTAAAAGCGAAAATTTTATTGCAAAATTTCCACACTAAAGATTTTTTTAAAACATGAAATTTATAAAATTTGCCGCAAAATAAATTCGTGGTCAAAATTTGAAAATAGGTCACCAATGAAACTAATGAGTAAAGTGCAAATAAAGTTAGAAAATAGCCCGTGTAACTCGAGAAATTCCCCTATTGAAAAGCGTCGCTGACTAGTAAAAGATTGTACGCGGGCGCAGAACGAGTTTTCATTCAGCAAAATCGAGCGGCAATGTTGTTTTTACTGTTTTGTTTTTTGTCAACTTTTCGATTTATTTGAGTGCCATGGACAGCCAAGGATTATTGTGAAGGATCAAATCGGTTAAAAACAAGGTTGAAGCTAATTGAATCCTGCCGTTTACTCAATCTATGAGCTGTAACAGCCTATTAACAGGTGGACGTGTTTTTTGTTTCATGTTTGGTTTTGTACTTTTTGCTAAAAATGAGCAATTAGGTTATGAAACTGAAATATTTTTCTGTTTACATATAATCACTTCAATCTTGTAGAAACACGACTAAAAACGTGAACGTTTTCTTGAGAAGTAAACAACTTTTTGAACGTTTGTATGCAATTTTGCAAATGTTTTACAGTTGACAGTGTATATTTTAAAAAATTTAAAAACATTGTTTCGTAGCTATTTTTGGTCTAGTGACATTCGTATCATATGTAGAATTGCTGTATAGACTCGCAAGTGATTTGACACTCAAAACGAAGTATTATTCAACGCTTTTTTCCATTAGAAACCTTTCAGAAATAGCTTTATTTTAAAAAAAAGCGTGGTCAATTTTTGTTTTGTTTCGATCATGCGGTTGCGTGGGATAGTTCACGTACTGGTCCCGCGAACATCCCGCACGCAACTGTAGGGAGCCTCCTTAAGTAGCTTCGGTGTTACAATTTTTTAAATATGTAAATTTGATATGTATTTTTATCAAATGATTAATAAAGACCAATAATAATAATAATAATAATAATTTAAATGAAAATGGCATGGCGCTCAGTAGCAAACTTTCTCCTGACGGTGAGCAACATATTTTAAACAAATCAGTTGATGGTTATTGTACCGAAACACAAACAATATATCAATTTCACGAGTGTTTTGTTCATGGGTGTAAAGAATGTTATGACGGTGATGCTATTAACATGGTGGTTAACGAATCCTTTTACACGTTAAGAGAGCGGACAAGAAGAACAACTTGTTTATTTGAAAGTCAGGGTTATACGGTTATAGAAAAATGGGAATGTGATTTTATACAGGAAAATAAAATAACACAAACACTGCTTAAAGTGTTACGTCAACGCGATTTTTTTATTAATGTCAATTTAAATCCTCGTGATGCGCTTTTTGGCGGGAAAACATCCCCCGCTATATTGTTTTACGAATCGGTTGTCAAAAAAATGCGTTATGTGGATTTTACTTCCCTTTACTCCTATGTTCAGAAAAAAAAATGTTTATCCGATCAAACATCCTGACATTATTCGCGGTATAACTAATTGTCGCGATGTAGAAATAAAAAATGTGTTTGGAATTATCAAATGTAAAATACTTCCGCCAAAACAATTATTATTTCCGGTTCTACCATATCGCACAGATAAATTAACATTTCCATTATGTCGTACATGCGTTCAGGAATTATGTACACTGTGTCGGCACACTGACGAAGAAAGGGCATTGTATGGTACATGGGCCAGTATTGAAATACAAAAAGCCTTGGAACATGGTTATACTATGATAGTGTATGAAATTTATCATTACCCGCACAAGGAGAAAATATTTGACACTTATGTTGACACGTTTATTAAAATGAAGCAGGAAAGTAGTGGTGTTCCCAAGCAGTGTCTTGATCAACAGGGGAATATTGAAAACGAAACTAAAAGCATATATCGATGAGTATTTTGAACACAAGGGTGTGCAATTAGAAACAAGTAAAATATGTTATAACCCAGGTCAGAGAACAGTTATGAAAGCTTTATTAAATTCTTTGTGGGGTAAATTAGCGCAAAATGAAGATACCACTGTTGTGTCGTTTGTAGCCAGTATGGACGATTTACTAGAAATGGTGAATGATCATAGTATAGATGTAACATCATTAGACTTTATTAGTGACAATATAGTGCAAACAACACATCGGAAGGGGGCGTCTCTAATTACCCTGTCTAATAGAAATGTAGTTATTGCATCATTTGTTACTGCCTACGCACGATTGGAATTATTTGAAGTACTAAATAAACTTGGTGAAAACGTTTTATATTTTGATACCGACTCGGTTATATATATTGAGGATAAAGACAAGGGTTGCGTTGTAACAACGGGTTCTTATCTGGGAGAATTAACTGATGAATTAGCGGAAAAGATTGTAGTGAAAAATGGATTGAACATTTTTGCACAGCCGGACCAAAATCGTATTCGTTTCGCACAAATGAATATACACACACTCTTGAAAATGGTACTACGAAAAAACAACGTGATGAAATAATACATGTAAAAGGTTTTTCGTTAAAAGGAGATAGGGAAAAAATGATAACATTTGATAGTATTAAAGCCTGCGTTTCGGATAAAAAAAAGAAATTCACACAAATTACACAGAATTTACAAGGGGCAACAGCCAAACCATAAATGTTCAAAAGGCTACAAAAACATTTCGTTTTACATTTGATAGACGCATTATTTGTGATGATTTTACAACCATACCCTACGGCTATCAACACTAAAACACCGTATTTATTTTTACAGGGCAATAAAATGCACAATACCATTTCAACACCCATTTACTGCGGATTCCGGTAGACCGTGAAATGCGAATAGTTGTCGCGTTAGTTTTAACAGTTACACAATGACGTTTCTAGGCAGATTTTCAGACGTTTCTAGGGCGTGGCTTCAACATTTTGTTAAAAAGTAAACACGTTTCGAACATTTCTGTCATTCTATTTTAGTTGCTTTCGTCAACATGTCCTTTGTTCAAATAAAAATAGAATATGATTACTATTCGAGCAAACGTATAACGCCAATCTTTTTAAACGAAGAAGATAAAATTTCCATGAAATATAATGATTTTAAAACCAGGATTTTGAATGACGTTCCACATTTATCCAAGATAGCGTCGTTGCGATTAACAATCCAAGAAGATGGTCTCGAAGTAGATTTGTCCCCGACATATTTCTCCCATCAAATTAAAGGTATATTAGCAAAGTCAAAAACAATAAGCATTAAAGCCATTGAGTTTGACTCTCCAATCGTGAACGCCGTCGACTGTGAAATAAGTACTCAAAAATCCACCACACAGTCAAGAAAACCAACAGTACGGTCCAAAGTAAGAAGATCCTTGAATTTATTCCCAACAGCAGAAAATCCTCCGGAGTCGATTAACAGTAAAAGTGTGACAATCAATGACATGCCAAAGAGCTTGCCGATAGCATCGCAGCTTGAACGATATGCGATAAAACAAAGGAATACTGTTCGTGATATCGAAAGTGAATTAGAACAAAAGCGAAGTAATTTGATACGTTTTGACGATAGATTGAAACGCGCCTCGGAACAAAATGCAGGTCATCTGTCTGTCTGCAGCAATTGCCAGTTAAAACTGGGGCATACAAAGAAAATTTGTTCATTGAGCCCATGTCAATCTGCGTACTCTTGCGGCTTTTTGTCGAAACACAGCAGCGAGAAATCAGTACGAACCGCACTGGATAGGGAAGTGTCACGCATACAAAATAAGCTGACGACGGCCAAAAAGGAAATGGAAAACGCAGGGCGGGCTGCAGCAAAAGTTACTAATTCTGCATAAAAAAAAATCGAGGACATAATCATTAAGGAACTCCCAAGCAGATATGTGTCAAATGGCCTTCGAAATTGGATTTTGCTGAATAAGGATGTTGCTGCTCTGCAAAAGCATTTGAAAGGGATGTTGCCATCTCGCGATAATGTTATCAGAATTCTGTACGAATTTGTCATTGATGATGAAGACGAAGAAAGAAACTTTGAATGGGATTTGTTTAACTCTTTCCCGACAACCGGTTTCGTATTACATTTCGATACAATTTTTCTAATATAAATATCTCGGCGAGTATTTACCCCCCTTTTAAATAAATGCCACCATTGAAATCCTCATAAACTAACCTTTCGAACGGGGGGTCAAGTGCCGTCAAAACATTACACAAAGCGAAACAGTCATATATTTACTCACCGCTTGGCCAAAGATTCTAAATTTCATATCCGCAAGATCTTGAATACCCCTGGAACTTTTCGTCATTTGCTGAACGGCTATATGTGTAAAATACTCTCTGTATTCAAGCGCTTTTGTGTAGAAAGTTTCGTATGTATACGCCGACTAGAAATATTTATTTTGAATTTTTCAAGTGTCGGGTTTTACTCGCACTTGCGTACATTGCGCAATAATTGGCCAATAAGAAGCTCCTTTGGCCGGGATGACGTCAAACTCACGCGTGTAGGTGCAATTTGACCTTGCGAATCCATTTCTGGCCTTTCCAGGGTCATACGATACAAACGCCGCATTGTTTTGACGGTTTTCAGTCGTATTTCCGGTTGGGATTAATTCACTTTGAGCTCACAGTCGGACAAGAAATGGAAATATATTGATAAAAGATACAGATTTGTAGATTCAGGGTTGCAAATAACACTCCAAAAACACTATTTAATGGGGATTCGAACAAGACTATTACAAAGACGATATGTTCGATGGGGCCGAAGTTATTTTCGGCGAAAGGTATGGCTAGTCTATAATAATCTGTATTTTTGTTCAGACAATTGCGTAATTTGATACAATATGATCGTTTTGACTTTCAAAGGCCCATAAATCGTTACAATACTAATAATGACTATAACTATCGTTTGGAACTAGTTGATATTTTATTTCTGAATCGAATGGTGGTATTTCTGTCTTCATAGCATGCACTGAACCGAAAGTATGAAATTTCGAGCCGTTGATCGTGAACATTGGCCCCTGTTGAGAAAGAGTTAAAGTTCAAGGAACTGATCACAGGATGAAATCCCATAAACGTCTGTTAACCGAAGAATATGCTATAAAATTTCCGCCGGGGCCGGCCAAGAAATATCCAAGCGGTGCAAGTATCTCGAAACCAAATAGACAGAAAATGCAAGAAGAAGCTGACTATAAACTAGCTATGAAGATTCAGAGAGACAATACGGAAGAAAGCCCAGCCCCAGAAGTTGAAGTAATCGAAGTGAAAGGTTCGCCATCTATAAAGCCAGATTTTTCCGAAGAAGATGAGGCAGTTGCGGTCTCTAGCGAGCGTCAAAATGTTCCTACATCACATTCTGATGAAAACTCTGATGAAAACTTAGACGATATCCAATTTCAAGCCGACGCTGCTGCTGCGTTGTTGCATTTGAGTTGAAGATCATCAAATTGAAGAGGTATTTAGTTATCGTAATTGTTGGATGATGCAAATTGAAATTGTTCCATTAATTTTAGTACATATATTGCTGTACTTATATGTTGAGTTGTTTTCTATGTGATGTTCGCCAAGTCATCAATTTAGCTGACGTTTTAATAACAAAATACTGTTTTGGTTATGTCAGCTTTAAGTACTTATAAGTACGAGATCATTGGAGAAGTAATTTTAAAAATAAACATTGTCAAAGTCGAGAAAATCAAAGCTGAAGTTTATGTATGTAAATCAGGACAAATCTTTATCCAATTTGCATTGATTAAACATTCATTTTTTTTGTATTTTCCTCATGAATTGTTAAGGATTTTTTATTTATATAGTCAGTATTAACAAATTATAGAGAAATCTCTCGGTTCGGGTTAACTTCAATTCTGTATAGTAATTATTACGGCTTTACGCAAGGTTAAATTATTTATTTTACTAGTATAATCAGTAAAAAAATTGCTACGTTTTGGACAGTTAAGGAGTGTCCATATTCAAGGCAAAAACAAATAATTTAACCTTGCGTATTATAATAAACAATTTAATTTATAAAAAAGGCAACGTAAACAAAATATTTACAACTTATTTTATTTCTTATAGCTAAATTTTTATATCAAAATAATTTTATATAAACAAAAACAACAGAAAACCATCTGTTGAATGCTCGGATATTGGTTACACAATGCAAGTTTATATTACAAATAATATACAAAAACAATATATAGTTAAAGAAACATTAAAGTAATATTAAATTTGTGACTCTATGGAGTATGGAAAGATTTATACATAAATATAGCGGAAGAGATAATTTCGCTGGCCTCAGAGTGACAAAACGTAACAAAGCCGGTATAAACACTAACCTTACTAGGCTGGTCCCTACTCCAAATACCAACTCTAATCCTTACCCTAAGTTCTAACCCTAACTTAACCCTACTTCGAATTTGTTTCTAAACCAATCTTGAAGAAAAAAGTTTTGACGAAATGTCATTCTGAGGTCAGCGAAATAGTTATTCTCAAATAATAGCATCGCATGCAGCTGTAAACAATACTGTAGGAAGTTGTAGTATTGTCTATTGATATTGTTTTGTTATATTGTTACTGCAATTTACAACTGTAATTGAAGTTCAAGTTTGGAGCCAACCATAATTTATAAATGTAAATGTGTGCTTTGACAATCTGAACTTTTTGCAATGTTGCAGCTAAGTAATATCTAAATATCCTGTTACTCGATAGAACTCGTGCATATCGCCTGGGGTTATAAAATTGATTGCATTGTAAACTGCAAGTCGCAAATTATTGTTTGTTAAATCCCAAAACTTGTGTTTCAACAAACACTTCATTTTACCAAAAACATATTCGGTTGGATTAAAATCAGGACTGTACGTGGGCATAAATACCAGTTCTATATTTAGGTCCTCGAGAAACTCGTGCAGTACATGTTCTCCATCATTGTGATGAAAGGGACAGTTATCCATCACAATTGTGTTACCAGCCTCAAGGCATGGTCGACCTGTCGTTGGGTGAACAGAATTTTACGCTTCTTCAAAAAATCTCAAAAATTCGGTTGTGTTAGATGGACCGTCTACAATGTTCGTATATGTTGCACCAAATAGTGAACACAAAACATTCACAGTTGTGTTTGCCGTTTCACAGTATCTGATAATTTCTATTGCTCTTTCGCCCACTGGAGCATGGCCATAAGATCTCGTACCATTGCCTGGTAATTTTACGCCGCATTCGTCGAAATATTGTACCGTATATGGATCTTTATCGTGCAAATAGTCGATGAACAACTGTGTGTAGGCCATATTCTGCAAGGAAAACCGTTCTTGAGCAACTTTATTTATTTTCTTGTAAGTAAATTTACCAGAAGGCAAACAATTCTGAACAGCGTTACACACAGCCGTTTTTGAAGTAGAACCAGTTGGTAAATCGCCAACGTCAAATAGGACATTCAAAATTTCATTATAACTTGTTGATGGCCGCTGTCTTTTTATTACCTCCAAAAGTTGTAAATCACCGTCAGACAAACTACTATTATTCCCGGTTGTTTTTTTCAACAGTGAAAATGAAGAGGTCTGACAATACTGTCTCCATATTTTGGAAACCACTGAACACGACAAATTCAATTCAGTTGCGACATCCAGCAATTTGCCATGAAACACACCGGTTTCTTTTTGACCACCTCGAAGAATTATTTTATCAATAATAGCCCTCCTAGTCTCGGATGACAAGGCTTTTCCATTTTGATATGTACGTCCTTTGCTGCTGACTTTCCACATTTTCGCACTCAAAAGTGGAATTACAACGTTTAAATTTTGAAAGTAAACGTTGAAGCCACGCCTTAGCAACGTCTGAAAATCTGCCTAGAAATGTCATTTTGCAACCGTTAAAACTAACGCGACAACTATTCGCATTTCACGGTCTACCTGAATCCGCAGTATGATGACAGTTTGAGGGCCATCACAAAGTGGTAAAACATGTTATATCATGAATATAATTAAACACAATGAAACACTTATCGAACCACCCGTTGACAAACTTATATACCTATACTCTGTGGAACAACCAGGTTACAACAACATCAAAAAACACATACGCGACAACGCACAGACATCAACGCTGCAAACATACGAATTCAGGGACTGTAACAATGGAATACCACCAATGGAGGAAGTAAAACCAATGCTGGGCAAAGCAACACTTTTAGTTTTAGATGATTTAATGGTGATTGCGGCATCAAATAAAATAAATCGTGAAAATTTAAATAATATAGCGTTGCGCGACAGCCATCATTCGAACACCTCGGTTATCTTTGTATGTCAAAATCTAAATTTTGGTTCGGGAAATTTGAATAATTGCCGTGTAAATAGTCAATATCACACGATGTTCAAAAATCTTACAGACTCTAGAGATGTGGAAATGATTGCAAGTAGTAAAAAAATATCCTTGAATGTTTTACACAAAATGCTTACAGACATTGGAAAAAAACAATATGGGTATTTGGTGTTTGATGGTTCACCTAAAAGCTATGCAAATTCACGTGTACGTAGCAGTATATTTCCCGAGGATGAAACCATTATATACGATGTTGTTAGGGATGTTGTGTAATCATCGGGATATTTTTTTACATGTTGTAGATAAATAAAAAAGAGAATTGAAATAAAACAATTTATTTTCAATAAAACTACAAAATATCTACATTTGTCAGTCCCTACATTTGTTCTACACCATATGTTTCTAAAAATGTTTTACATATTTGACCTTCCCCTTATTACATTTACGTGTATACACACTTTTTAAACTTGGAAACAAACCGAAAGCTAACCTCTGTAAACGTTTTTCGTTTTCTATTAGTTGGGTTGCGTCTGTAGTAAAAGTGTAAATAACAGGTTGTTTGTCATAATATGCTTTTAAAAATAACAAACACCACACACCACATGTTCTACTAATATGAGATTGTCTTTGTTTAGCATTATACATTGATATGCTACAACCTAATTTTTGAAAAATGTTATCCAATATGCACGTTTAAAAAATGTTGGTGTTTTACCATAACTGTAAAAAAAATAATATTGTTATTGTTTTTAACAACAGCTATCCAGTGTGTACCGGGTTTATCTTGTTCATCAACATTCCAAATCCAACAACATTGATCTTTAATACCATTCGGTGTTACATCAGCAGGATAACATCCCAAATAATAGCAGTTAATCACATTGTCTTTTCGACCCAAAATATCTAACTCATCAGTGTTTAAAAATTTACTAATGAAGCATGTAATATTCATGTTGACTATGAAAATGATTGAAGATATCCGTCCACCATATAATCATGTGGTTCTCCAAATTTTCTTTTGCGCAACTGCACCGCTTTCGTAGGTCGACCGCGTGGACTTTCGTCTGTCCGGTAAGCTGGTGGTGGGGTTTGTAGTATGGGTTCCGGCGTTTCTGCTACTTCAAGATCTCTGTATTTTTTATGTAATTCCCTGTTGTGTATATACCTTACAGGCATATGCGATTTCTTTAACATGAGAAGAACTTTGTCGGTTTGAGCATTAGATAAATTTGTCTTTGTTTTTGCAAAATTATGTGTTAAATCATTGATCATATCCTTGTATGAAATATTCAGAGTTTTGCCAGCGTGTTTTATACCTTTCGGCACAGCTACTATACCCAAAGTGTTCTTTAAGTTTTTCCTCATGGTATGCAATTGAACCGTATGTAGATGTAGATGCAGGTGGAGGTGGTGGTGGTGGCGGTAGTTGACGTTCCGCGTTTTTAGCAAGTTCTCCAAGATATTTATCTTTTTTACGCATATAATTGACAATGTTTGCGGGTCCCAAAGATGATTTATTTTTCACACTTGTTACCATTTCCCCATGACTATCAACAAGTTCAGCTTCTGCAGGTGTTCGTTTCGAATCATCGAGTATTTTTTGCCGGTTTGTTAGGTCTTGTAGCAGCAACATTAGATTGTTGTGCTTTTCGGCATCGATTAATGTTAGCCGTCTTACGTTGTCCCCCATGGTCTTCCTCTATAGCTTTTTAACCCTTCGCGGAAATAAAAGTTTAAACGAAAATCCTCCAATAAATGTATAGTCCAGGAGGAGAAGGGGGGGGGGGGTATCGTAACCCGAGTAGGGAATTTATGAGAGTATGTGACTTTGGTCAATTTTGGGGCGCTGATTTCAAAAATCGATGTTATACGGGCCAATACCGGGGCCTTCAGCCTCGTTTTGATGCACACAGACTCGTTTTGGGGCATATATAGGGAACACGTTAGTTGTCTTAGTTAGCTAGGGAAACCAGTGATTTTGGTCAATTTCGGTGCGCTGATTTCAAAAATCGATGTTACACGGGGGAATACCAAGGCCTTCAGCCTCGTTTTGTTGCATGCAGCCTCGTTTTGGTGCAAAAAGATGGAAGTCATTAGTTCGCTTAGATAGGCAAAGTCGTTGGTGATCTTGGTCAATTTCGGTGCGCTGATTTCAAAAATCGATGTTACACAGCAAACTACCGAGGCCTTCAGCCTCGTTTTGGTGCATACAGCCTCGTTTTGGTGTCTACATATGTGTCTTAGATAGCCAAGGAAGTTGGTGATTTTGCTCAATTTCGGTGCGCTAATTTCAAAAATCGAAGTTATATGCGCAGATATATTGGAACCTCTAGCCTCCGTTTGATACACATATCCTTGATTTAGTGGAACTATTGGGAAGATCCTACTTAAACAAGCAAGAAAGCTAGTGATTTCTGCTCTTTTTGATCAAAAGCAATACTGTTGCCCCATTAAATCGAGGTCATATTATGCATTGCATTAAAAAACATGTACATTCTGATCACAAACCTTGCACATTCCTTTTCAAAATTCACTTGTGTCTTCAATTTCCACATCCAAATCATCCTTGTAGTCATCATCGGAGGACAAACTGTTCTAACTCTCCGTGCCTGCGAGTAGCGCATCAATCTCCCCGGGATAGGAAATGTCACTCCAGACACGCTTCCATCTCCGTCCCATCCATGCTCGTCGGGGCTCTCAAGTTCTACTAGCAGCTGATCAGCGTGTCAAAAGATGTACGCGACATAGTCTCTCATGATGTGATGATGAAAATTTGACTGGCATAGTGGCATTAGCCAAAGGTCAATGATCTTTTTCTTGTTGAACTTGTTCCAAAATACTTTCTTCCTTGCCTCATTGACTGAGAGGATACATGGATGCCCATATATAGAACAAACGAACCATTCTAAACACCGAACCAACTCCTCGCTTGCTGTCACCTCCGTACTCAAGGATGAAAATATATCGATAAAGGCAGTGTTCTTGGTCACGGCTTTCCACACAGCCTGCTTTTCCTTTCGAAAAAAGCTAGATACATAATCGTCCGGAAAAGGCATGCGTTCCCAAAAGAGCTCATCTGCGACAAGGGACAATCCAGTTGACGTCACGTCGATGATTCTCCTGTTCTTCCCGCTGCCATTGTCAATCGGAATCTGTGTGTCCGAAAAATTGTGACCAATAAACAAGCTAAGATTATTATGTATATATCACCAGATAGCGACCGTACCATTGCAGTTGAGCTAGATGGCAATTGGCTAGCATGCACAAATGCAACAAGTTTATTACCAGAATTAACCAGCGACTGGACAAAAAACTCGTTGCATGTGTGCATGCTAGCCAATTGCCACCTAGCTCAACTGCAATGGTACGGTCGCCATCTGGTGATATAAACATAATAACCTTGTTCATTGGTCACTATTTTTCGGACACACAGATTCTGATTGACAATGGCAGCGGGAAGAACAGGAAAATCATCGATGTGACGTCAACCGGATTGTCCCTTGGTTACAGAAGAGCTCTTCTGGGAATGCATGCCTTTTCCAGAAACGATTACGTATCTAGCTTTTTTCGAAAGGGAAAGCAGGCTGTGTGGAAAGCTGTGTCCAAGAACACTCCCTTTATCGATATATTTTCACATTTGGGTACGGAGGTGACAGCAAGCGAGGAGTTGGTCCGGGGTTTAGAATGGTTCGTCTGTTCTATATATGGGCATCCAAGTATCCTCTCTGTCAATGAGGCAAGGAAGAAAGTATTTTGGAACAAGTTCAACAAGGAGAAGAAGATCATCGACCTAAGTCTGATGCCACCATGCCAGTCAAATATCATCACATCATGAGAGGTAACTAGGTCGCGAACATTTTTTGACACGCCGATCAGCTGCTAGTAGAACTTGAGAGCCCTGACGAGCATGGATGGGACGGAGATGGAAACGTTGTCTGGAGTGACATTTCCTATCCCGAGGAGATTGATGCGCTACTCGCAGGCACGGAGAGTTAGAACAGTTTGTCCTCCGATGACTACGAGGATGATTTGGATGTGGAAATGGAAGACATGAGTGAATTTTGAAAATGCAAGGTTTGTAATCAGAATGTACATGTTTTTTAATGCCATGCATAACATGACCTCAATTTAATGGGGCGACAGAATTGCTTTTTATCAAAAAGAGCAGAAATCACTAGCTTTCTTGCTTGTTTAAGTAGGATCTTCCCAACAGTTCCACTAAATCAAGGATATGTGTATCAAACAGAGGCTAGAGGTTCCAATATATCTGCGCATATAACTTCGATTTTTGAAATTAGTGCACCAAAATTGAGCAAAATCACCAACTTCCTTGGCTATCTAAGGCACATATGTAGGCACCAAAACGAGGCTGAAGGCCTCTGTATTTTGCTGTGTAACATCGATTTTTGAAATCAGCGCACCGAAATTGACCAAGATGACCAACGACTTTGCCTATCGCTAAGTAATGATTTCCCTCTATTTGCACCAAAACGAGGCTGTATGCACCAAAACGAGGCTGAAGGCTTCGGTATTTTGCTGTGTAACATCGATTTTTGAAACCAGCGCACCGAAATTGACCAAGATCACCAACGACTTTGCCTATCTATGGTAACTAATGATTTCCCTCTATTAGCACCAAAACGAGGCTGCATGACCAAAACGAGGCTGAAGGCCTCGATATTTTCCCGTGCAACATTGATTTTTTAAATCAGCGCACCGAAATTGACCAAAATCACTGGTTTCCCTAGCTAACTAAGAAAACTAACGTGTTCCCTATGTATGCCACAAAATGAGGTTGTATGCATCAAAACGAGGCTGAAGGCCCCGGTATTGGCCCATGTAACATCGATTTTTGAGATTAGTGCCCCAAAATTGACCAAATTCACATATTCTCATAAATTCCTTACTCGGGTTACAATACCCCCCCTTCTCCTCCTGGACTAAAGAAGACGCATACAGACATAACAAACAAGTTCTGCAGTTTAAGAAACATTTTTCTTATTTTCTATGTAGCTCCGTAAATTTGCACGGGAAAAGAGAAAGCAGGACGGATCAGGATCAAGCTTAGCCTTCCGGTATGAATCATGTCCGGCAAACGAAGAGGAATTCCATTCATAAAAAGTGATATGCGGAAAGCTGTGGTTGCCGAAGGTGGATTAGATCAGGATTCCATGTATTTCGGTGGGTCAACAAAGAAGGAAACTTGTCTGATGATGCCATTCATTTCTTTTGAGAATGATCTAGTGCAAAGGATTTTACATACATTTATTTAGTCAAGTTCTATTGGAAATGCTGCATTCTGATTGGCTATACGGTAGTCGCTTTAGTCGCTATCTATCAGCTATTATATACACAAGCACTGGATATGAGCTATTCTTCAATCTGATTGCATGGTTCTCTACTACTAGGATATTTGACAATTAGACAATGCAAATTGTCTAATTGTTTTAGTATAAACGTACTAGTCCGACAAAACGTTATCTGAAAGAAATTTGTAAAATTTATTAAAAACCCACTGTAAACATAATTATATCTAAAGATATGCCAGTCTTCTTTCATGCAATGGATTTCAAAATAATTT